GATCCGCTCTGAAAGGCAATCAGAATTTTCAGATCATATTTTCAGAGTGCAGCCATTATGCATCACTCAATACAGCGTCTGTGCGGAAATTCGCCTATGAACTTTAATCTGCTGCTCTTAAATAATGCAAATAAAAATTCAATATTTAATGGAAAAAATAAACCGAATAGGTTCAACCCCCCCGTGAACCGTTACACCCCTAATAGTGGCTAGTGCTGTTACCTTGCAGCAAGAAGGTCCCAGGTTCTAATCCCTACCCGGGGTCTTTCTGTGTGGCATTTGCATGTTCTCCCTGTGCATGCGTGTGTTTTCTCCAGGTAGTCCGGCTTCGCCCCACAGTCCAAAAACATGACTGTTTGGCTGATTGGTCTGTTGAAATTGTCCCGAGGTGTGTGTGTGTGTGTGTGTGTGTGTGTGTGTGTGTGTATGGCTGTCCTTCCTGTGTGTCTCTGTGTTGCCCTGCAATGGACTGGCACTCTGTCCAGGGTATACCCCGCCTGATTGCCCACTGATCGCTGGAGATAGGCACCAGTTCCCCCGCGACCCTACATGGACAAGCAGGTTCAGACAATGGATGGATGGATGGACTGGCAACCTATCCAGGGCATACCTCGCTTGCTTGCCTTGAGATCGCTGGAGATAGGCACCAACTCCCCCCTACCCTTTTTGGACAAGCAGCTATAAAGAATGGATGGACATATATGTATAGTGCTTGGCATAAATAAGTACACCCCGTTACATCTGCCAGAAAACCTTTAGTTTCCTTTCAGAATCAACATTTTCTATGAGACGTTATACTATAAAATGTTCTCACAAATGTTGGTCATTGATTGCAAACAAGATTTTTTCACTTGCACACACCAAAAAAGTTATTTTTCTAACAAATTTATTCAATGTTGCAAAAAATGAGAACACCCCAAATATGGTCTTAAGAGAAAAGTCACACTTAAGACTACACAATTCGAATTAACAGTTATTCAACCACAGGTGACTATAAAAGGGCGTTACTTAACAAAGAAAAGCCCTTCCCATTTCATGCTGTCAACAATGGCTCCAAGCGGAAGAGAAATATCACAAAATCTGAGAAAGGAAATCATTTCTTTACACTCAAAGGTGAGGGCTACAAGCAGATCAGCAAAGCTTTACTTATCAGTCAGAATACTGTAGCAAAAGTGGTCCAAACATTAAAGAAAGATGAAAGTGCAACCATCTCACAGAGACGTCCAGGTCGTCAATGGACATTATCTCGATAGGAGCATCTTCTGATGAGAAGGGTTGAAGAAAATCACTATGCAAGTTCACTGCAGCTAAAGCAGTAGAAAGCTAAACTGAGTGAGAGTTTCCCTTGGCACCATACGACGTACACTGCAGAGGAATGGCATGCATGGGTATCTTCCACAAAGGAAGCCTCTCCTAAAGCCCATGCACAGAAAGCACACCTAGGATTAGCTAGGGCCCATGCTGAAAGAGACAAAGACTACTGGGCAGTGCTTAATTTGAGCCGGATCTTACCGGAACAAGATCCGGGAACTGTCTTATTTTGAAAGGACCGTTCCGGCAACTGTCTGCTAGGTTCCGCAAGTCACGCAACCAACTTATGCTATATGCAGGGTTCGAATTACGGGTGAGCTAAAGGGATCGCGGCTCACCCCAAAGGATGACAGGCTCCCCTGGAAGCCCTCAGTTTACACACCCAGGGGGAGCCCGAAAATGATTCTGGTTCTACTTATATTACATTACTATGTGAACTCTCCGGGGATTTTAGAGCTGAGAGGCGCAGAGCTCTTACGCGCTCCAGACTGCTGCGTCCTGAGCACGGCCACAGTAACATTCTCAAAGTGTCGCCACCTCAAAAACAAATTCAACACGCAATCGTTTATGTCGGCTCATGTCCTTTCATGCTTTCTGTCTTTTATTTGTGCCTGATGTGTTTTGCTGCTGCGGACCGGAGCACATCACCTGTTTTGTCCTCCGGTGACGCAAGTTATTGGTGCGGCCGGCGCGCAGCGCACACTCCGCTGTTTTTGCGGTCGGTAGATCTTTTTGAACTGCAGTTCAAAGGTAACTCATGAGGTGAATATATATGAAGCCAGGTAGCAGTTTTTCTTTAGGATTGAGAGGAGATGCAGGAAGATAACAAACAGGCAGGACAGAAAAATAGTCAAATAAAAACAAGTTAGTTTTTGTACCTGGTGGTTGCAATAAACAGACACCATTGAAAATAATCAGAAGTGAGGAACAGAAAATGAAATTATTCTTTCAATGTTTAGAGCAGCAGGAACTCCGAGAGGCTGCAGGCACATCAGTGAGTTTGCGGCTGCTAAGCAGGGGCACAGTAAAGATGCAAAACTACCATTGTTGAGAGAAATGTGTTTTAACTTTGAAAATATGGGCACAATTTTTAATTGTCGAAAACTCCAGCAAATCAACCGGAACACCCCCCGTGCGTGTTTTGGCACCTGTTTTGCCTTTAGTGAACTTTGGTTTGACGTCACTATTTGTGTTCCGCGAACGTTTCATTTACAAATTAAGCACTGTTCACTCTGGAGTGATGAGGCAAATATCACTGTTTTTGGAACTAATGGTTACAAAACTGTATGGCGTCGTAAAGGTGAGGCTTTCAAAGAGAAAAACATGGTGCCTACAGTGAGGCATGGTGGTGGTGGTGTCCTTATGTGGGCTGCATGAGTGCTGCTGGTGTTGGGGAGCTGCATTTCATTGATCGTATCATGAACTCAGCAATGTACTGCTCTAGACTGAAGGAGAAGATGCTGCCATCACTCCGTGCACTTGGTCGTCCTGCACGTTTCTAACACGACAACGATCCAAAACACACATCTAAAGCTACTGTTGCTTTTGTGAAGAAGAACAGGGTGAAGGTGATTGAATGGCCAAGTATGTCTCCTGATCTGAACCCAATCCAACACCTGTGGGGAATTCTGAAGCAGCAAGTTGAGCATCACTCTCCAGCCAGCATCCAGGCTCTAAAACAGGATCTTCATGAAGAATGGAATAAGATAGATGTTACAATATGTCACCAACTTGTTCATTCCATGTCTAGAAGACTTGGTGCTGTCCTTGCAAAATACTAGATGTAGTAGTTTTTAATGTGAGGTGTATTTATCCTTGCTTCAACCAATTTTAGTAAAACTGAACTAAGTTATATTATTAACCTTAGTTTCATTTTATGGAGTAAAACAAGGGTTCAATGAAACCCAGCCTCATGAAAAATCTGGAAATTGTTCTTTTGTTCACTGAGCTCCTGATTAAATGAGTACTTTTCAAAGGGGTGTACTCATTTATGCTGAGCACTGTATAAATATGAATACATCAGAACTGAATGAGCTATTAATTATGCAGGGCCATGAGCTGAAGTAAACTCCATCAAAACTCATCCTAGAACACTAACGAGACGGCACACAACTGTGCAATGTTTGAATAAATTTAGGGGCTTAAGTTTGTGTTTGGTTGATCTTTAGCTTCCGTCCCACAACATAGTGGCAGGGATTCTGGCGCCAAACATTTCTTGTAAGCCACTTAAAGAAGGATATAATGACAACACAAACAGCTTCAGCAACCAATACATAGTTTTCACCCATTTATGACTGCGTTTTTCTGCTAATCTTTTGTAACATCTATGGCAATAATATGCTGTTAACAATCTTAAAATTGTAAACTAAGAAGCAGGTTCTCTCTTAGTGGTTCATGACTCACTAAAGCAGTGATGCCACCATGGTGGGCCAGACAATCTCATGTGTATGGCTGTTTTTGAACACAAATTCAAGAGAGTAAAGGGGAATCTTCAATGTGTTGCAAGATTTGTTTATTTATGCTTATTTAAAGAAAATAAGTGAAAAAGAGAATAAAGATGGGTTGGTATAATAAAAAATACAAATAACATATTGCAGCTAAAATAAAACACTTTTTGTTTTAGTGTGCCATCCTTTGAAGACTACATGAAGCATCAAAGTCCTGTTTAGCGAAACAATAGTTGGAAATCAAACATGTATCTCCTGTACAACACTTGTTTTAGAGTGAACCCTCTTTCTGTTGCCTTTCCTGCAGTTTTCAAGTGTTCTTACTTCATCAGTGGTACCTGCTTTTTATGAAGAGAAACCTGAGAAACACAAACATAGTTTATCAGCTCAACTCCTTCTTAAAAAGCAAGTTCACTGAGAAGCAGTTTTTACTGGATATGTTTGAAATCCGAGTTTCACATCAGTGCAGAATGTGAAAAGAGTCTTCTTCCCCTGATTTCTGCATTAAGAAAACAAACGAGGAAACTCTTGGATTAGAAAAGTCAAACAGGTCTATGTCACACTGTAAATTTGCATTCAGGGACTCGCACAGCTTGGCTCGTAGAAGCTAACCATTAGCATTAGCAACTCCGTGGCAGGACTCCTTCTGGCTTGTGCTATTTGCAGAAATGAAACATCAACGTTGCAGAGCAAACACAAGCAACTGAAGACGTGGGTTATTGTTAGCCAATCAGTGGTGAGATGTCCCAATATCATGAACACTAGTGAGTAACTCCAAACCCTGCCGTCCTTCCTGGTTAGCTTTCACTTTGTGAAAAAGGAGGTGCCATAGCTCTTTCTCCCATGGAGAATGACTCACTGAACATTCACACTAGAGACCACTGCAAATGTGTTGAAATAATGAGTGAATAAGAGATTTAAGTATTTCTGATAAAGAAAATACATTTTGTAGCTCACTGCTTCACAGTAACCATATTTAGCCTTGCACACATATATTTATTAAAAGTTTACGCTTGCAATTGTATTGAATAACATGGAACACATTTATGAGTTTGTACTAATTAGCCTTTTTTTACAAGACCACACCATTGCCTAATGTATTAAAATGACACGATTGCACCAAAATATCGCCACAGCCACTTATAAATGACCTAAGACTTACTGATGCCGCCACGGCTTTGCAGCAAATTGAAGGCATTGTTTTGTTAAAACAGCTACTGTTCATGATTTTGTGTTTTTCAGTCAGGTTTGATTCGTGTCTCTAAGGAGGACTACCTAATAGCTCCACTACCTCAACATCTAGCCAAGCAGCACAACTACAGCACCCCTGATGGTCACCATCCACATGTGGTTTACAAGCGCTCGGCAGAGCATGTTGTTCACCGAAGATCCTTCACATCGGAAAGTCTTCCTCTTCACCATCAGCAGCAACAAAAGCATCATGACTACCAACATGGAAAGCTGCAGAGGCAACACTTCTGCGGACGCCACAAGCAATGTATGTAAGGGAACCCTCTCTCTTCATATAAACACCCCTTAAATATTTGTTGATGTAAAAATCAACTATTCACCATCAACATTTTTGTTCAGTATTGTCATGCACTAGCATAAAAGCACAAATATAGGTCTGTTTAATCTGCTAAACAAAAGAATACCTATGTCTTCCTCTATGCCCGCCAGGAGAATGTGCCCTACCTGCATCATTTCCCCTTCTCTTTTTATGTTTTCCTAGATGCTCCCAAGCCTCCTGTAGAAGATCCATTCATCATGCCTGATGAGTTCCCTATGCCGGAGGTGGAAGAGCCAGGGCGGGCAAAGAGGTCTCCCATCGACTCCAACAGGGTGGGAGGTCTGAATGTGGAGACCGTGGTTGTGGCAGACAGGAAGATGCTGAAGAACCACGGCAGGGAGAATGTCACCACCTACATCCTGACCGTCATGAATATGGTGAGAGTGGGGAAGGAGAAGGGAGGGAAAGGAAAGGAGGAGCTTGCAATGATTCAATAGCATGTGGAGTTTGTTGAAATGGGTTTGGTCTGTTGTCCATCATTGAAAAATATTGTTTTGTATCAACAATCTGCAAGGTGACTATTGATTAAGCTAAGTACAAGAAAAGCTAGAGTTAATAAAAAAAAGAACATGTCTGTTACCTCATTTTGTTTTGGCTTTTAGCCACATTTATTGTGTTGGTGGTCTTGTGAGGCGAGGTGTTGAATATGGTTCAGTATGAAGTTACTGAGACTAGGGAAAAAAATTCTTACCCATAAGGACCGCTGTCCTACATTTTTTAGTGGTTCCTGTGCTCCAACAGACCTGACTGAGGTCCTTCTCATTACCTGTGTCCCCTAGTAGTTGTGACGTCTCAGCCTTTGACCTTGTTCTTACTCCTTCCATATTGGTGTTGCAATGCTTCCGCCCTAAATGCAGCTCCATCTTTCTAAAGGAATTTTCCGAACTTTTAGCAGACTTGCTCCTCAAGTACGACGGTGGACTCGTACTTGGTGATTTTAATATTCACATTTGCTGCCCGTTGAAGTTGCTGGTGAAGGACTTTTTTGACTTGGATTATTTTGGCCTACAATAGCTGGTTGAGGACCCTACTAACAACTGCTCTCATACTTTGGATTTAAATCTGTCCTTTGGAATTTGTGTTACTGACCTGTATGTTGATCCTCTGACCACATCCCCATTCACTTGAGCATCCCTGGCACGTCTCCTTCTCCAGTTAGGAACTCATCTTGCCATTATTCTAGGTAAATTTCCCCTTCTATTATTTTTCAGTTGGCCTCTTGTTTAGCTGACGGTCTCATTCACCTCTCACCTACTCAGGCGTAGTAAAACTACCTGTGAGCCATGGCCCAATGATGAAACTTGTGTCCTTCAACACCAGTGTAGGATCTACAAATGAAGGTGGCGTTAAGACAAATTGCACACTTCACAACTGTTAACCCTTTTATCAGAAGGCAGTCAGACTCACCAGAAACAATCTTACGCTGGCTTAGTTACTACACACCGGCCTGATCAAAAGAAATGGTACGGTGTCATCAACTGTGTTCTGTCCTTAAATGACTGACTGACTAACTCCACCTTACCCGTCTGTGGCTGTCTGTACTGAATTTCTTAACTTCTTTGTTAGCAAAGTCCAAAACATCAGGTCTAACCTCCTGCCGTAGGAACATTTACTAGTGAAATACCGCCCTGCCTATCCCAGCTCTCTGATTTTAGCTCCATCTCACTGGAAGCCTTGACTAAACTAATGAGGTCAATGAACCCTTCTGGCTCTCCTGATGACTGCCTTCCCCCTAGTCTATTGCTTGAGTTACTGTATGTGGTTTCATCTGGGATCTTTCCATCGGCCCTTGAGAAAGTGGTGGTTCTACCACTTCTAAACAAGGTCTACATACGTCTGACTGTGGAAACTATCACCCAATCTCAAAGCCCCCATTTATCTCCAAGGTGACTGAGAAATATCTACGCCACATACAGTTGACAAAACATCTGGACAACCATCACCTTTCAATCTGGTTTCTGACCTAAATTTAGCACTGACACTGCTCATGTTTGCACATTCTGGTTGCTATCAACTCTGGCCCCTACGTTTTGCTATTACTGCTTGATCTCTCCCCTGCCTTTGATACTGCCAATCACTCAATTTTAGTTGATAGACTTGAAACATGGCTGGGTGTTACTGGGACCCCACTCAACTTGTTCACTTCTTACCTCTCTGGCTGCTGCTTTCTAGTTAGCATTGGTAAACACTCCTCTAGCTGTGCTCCTCTACCATGGAGGGGGCCCTCAGGGCTCTATCCTTGGACCACTGCTTTTACATCACACTCAACCATCACAATTACTCCAATTGGTTTGTGGACTGCCTACATGAGGTTACAGGCTGGCTAGCCACAAACCTTTTTGAAACTCAACAACAGTAAGACTGACGTGATCATCTTCAACTCTAAACACCCTTCTTACCCACTAAGCACTCCTTCGCTACCCTCTTTATATATCAAAACCTGTGTCACAAGTCTGGGGGTTTAATTACATTCTGACTTAACAATGTCGCCCCAAGTTAACGCTGCTGTTAGATTCTGCTTTAGCAACTTTGCCGTAAAATACAACTGAGACGTATTCTAAAGAGACCCCACTGAAGCCCTTTTCATATAGACATTCTGGAACATTTGTGGACAATTCAATGCGGTTTTTAACCGGAACTGTGTTTTCAGACACACCACTTTTGTACCGGAACTTGTCCTTTCGGCTGCGTTCACACAGCAGGGAAAGGTTCTAGATGTCTGACGGCGGCGGGGGGGTGGGGGGTCAGACTCATGCTAAGAAGAAGAAGAAAATATCATTTCTAGCGCCTCTCAAGATAAAAATCACGAGGCGCTTAAGCATAATTCTGCGCACACGAAGACGCATAAGAGACCTGGATGATGAAGCTCAATGGTTAAAGGAATCACTGAAGCGGTGTGAAGCACTCCGTTGCGCGTCTAGACGGTACCGTAGGAAGCGAGCTGCCGTGGTTCGCCGCATGCTACAGGAGCGAGCTACAGTATCTGGGTGCGCACAGCGTCCCCCGGTCCCCTCCTCCTCCCCCTTGTCCGGAACTCTACCTCACCAGTCTGAAGCAGCCACCATGTCCGTAACAAGTCCGGACCTGTTACTAGGGGCTTCGTCCGGTTAAATTCCGGAACACGTTATCCGGATGCTTGTATTCAGACACAAGGGTCTTACGGACAGAGTCCGGAACATTTCCGTTTTTCATGGCCTGTCTGAAGGGGGCTTTAGAGTCAATCATCCATGCTTTTATCACATCTCGCTTGGACTATGCTAATTACATCCTGACCAGGGCAAATGCCTCCTGCCTTATCTGGCTGCAAAAAATCCAAAATGCATCTGTTAGGTTCCTCACAAACACTGATCGATGTTGTCATATCACCTGCATCCTTGCCTACACACTCCACACTGGATTCCAGTGCAATGCAGGGTTACATTTGAGTCTCACCTTTGTCTATATTGCTTTAAATGGTTCTTTCCATCCTTCTCTCTGTGACTTGCTTAGGCCTTACACCCCAGCACATTTCCTCCCCCCTTGGCCTCCTTAAGATGTCAAGGGGATCTTACAAATCTCATGGAGCGCAAGCTTTCTCTCACACAGCCTCCAAACTATGGAATGCACTACCCATGCACATCCGGACGGCACAACCGCTAAACAAATTGAAAACAAGATGAAAAAGTCACTATTTCAGTATTGCCTTTGGCTCCTAAACTGCCTCTCTCTGCCTCTTTTACTTTATGTTCTCTGTATTTGTAATATCCCCTACCCTTAATCCTGTTTTTATCTTTGTCTTTTAAAAGGTTCCACTTACTCCTGAAATGCTTGCTTTATTTTATTGTCCAGTCTGCAGTGTTATTTTTTTGGTTGTACTAGCCAAGTTTTGCCTACCACTTTGGTCAGCTGCAATACTGTGTTTTAAAACGTGCTCTGTACGTAAGTTATAGATGGATGGATTATTTGAATCAATGGGTATTGTGTAACACTTGGAGTCGCTGTACAGGTAGTTTAGCCACTGATTCAAGTGTACAGCAGAGAAACAACAAAAAAAGCTGATTATTGGAGTCTGACACTTGAACAGATTTTCCTGATTTGGATGGACAAATCCAAGACCATGGTTTTGAGTTGGAAAAGGGTAGAACGGCTTCTCCAGGACAGGGACGAGGTCCTTCCTCAAGTGGAGGAATTGAAGTATCTCAGGGTCTTGTTCATGAGTCATGTGGTGAAAAGAGAGCTGACCCAGTCGCAGCTGAAATTGGTTTTCTCCCCAGGGTGAGATAGGCTGAGAAGCGTAGTCATCTGGGAGGGGCTCAGAGTAGATCCACTGCTACTCCACATCGAGAGGAGCCAGTTGAAGTGGCTTGAGCATCTGGTTAGGATGACTCCTGGATGGCTCTCTGGTGAGGTTGTCCAGACATGTCCAACTGGGAATAGACCCAAAGGAAGACGCCGGGCATGCTGCGGGACTCTATGTCTCGACTGGCCAATGAAGACCTTCCCCTGGGGGAGTTGGCCAAGTGGCTGTGGAGAGGGAGGTCCGAGCCTCTCTGATTAAGCTACTGCTCCTGCGACCTGACCCCATATATACAGAAGAGAATTGATGCATGGATGGATAGATGAACAACAGGACAACTTTGTCATGCTAGACTGAAACAGTTCCCCTTTGCAGCCTGTCTTTACAGAAGACACTTTTTGTTTTCCAACATTTTTGTAAATGCCTGTTTGTCATCAAGTGGGAATGAAACCCCGCCGCTGAATGGTTATGTCTTGACCCCTCATAATCAAGTTTTAACTTAAGCTCAACTAAACTTGTGTTTAACAGAATGGCGGTTTAGCCACTTCCCCCTCATATAATTAAAGCTTTATGTACCCTCATGTAACCCTTTATATGCAGCAATGTTTCACAATAAATAGCTCATGCAAAGCATCTTAAGCTTTATGACTAATTCATTTGTTAAACACCCTTTTACAAAAACAGAGGTACATAATAAAACACACCACGGCTGCAGGCCCCCCACCACATGAGAGTTGGAGCATGGTGGACATCTTTTATTTTCATGTCTGAAATGTGGCAAACCTATTGAAAAGTTGTATGCCAATCAGTCATAGTACTGAAGATAATGAGGTTTTCTTATGGCTGGGACCAGTTTCAATGTAAAATTCACAAAATGTAACTCAATATATGTGTTTATTAGGTTCTGTCGCATTTTTATTGTAAACACCAGGTAGGGCTTAGCTCTACATGCCCTTAGAGAATTTAATTAAAATTCATTCAGTGTATTTTGTAGTCGGGCATCCAGCCAGCAAACCAACCAGCTACCCAGGCAGGCATTGTGGCAGACAGACAGCACTGAGTCTTAGTTTAATGCAAAGCTTTAAGCAAAGATGACTCTCTTCACTGCGTCAAAATCGAATTTAGCTATCTATCTCTAAAATCGATCACAGTTTTGTGTTTTCTAACGCCAGTTGGCAATGGAGACCATCATCACCACCTTTTCATCAACCATCAGTTTAGAGTTTCTAGTAAAGTTAAACATAAAAGGGAGTTTTCTGGGTCTGGATCAGTGTTTTCCTAAATCTGTATATACGTATCTCTAATTTTAACATTTTAAACATTGTTGTGTTTAATGGTTGTAAGCTGCTAAACTAGTCAACTAAAGACAATTTATAAATGTGGCTATTGCACAGTGAAGAAATATGATGATGGAGAAGTCCTTGTTGTGGTTAAAGAGCATGCTTTCCAGGCATGTAGATAAACATTATCAGCTATAAAGAAAATGGAGTGTTACCAATCAATTCATCTGCATATCTTTGTAGGTTTCCAGTCTTTTCAAAGATGGCACTATTGGGACAGACATTAATATTGTTGTTGTCAGCTTGTTGCTGCTGGAACAAGACCCTGTGAGTGGACTGAAAATGAACTCTATAACAAAGATTTGTGGTGCTCCGCTGGATACAGAAAAACTCACCTATAACTGTCACTCTTTTTCTGCATCTATCGCCTTTTTTCCAGCTGGGATTAAATATCAATCACCATGCTGACCAGTCCCTCAACAGTTTCTGTCAGTGGCAGTCAGGTCTTGTGGGGAAAGGAGGAAAACGGCATGACCATGCCATACTACTCACTGGACTTGACATTTGTTCCTGGAAGAACGAGCCCTGTGATACTCTGGGTAAGATGGTACTTTCCTCACCTTAAGTTCTAATACTAGAGTATGATGGTGAGAGGAAGGTGAATGTTAAAGCCGAGGCACATGTTTGGGTTTCTATCCTGTCGTCCTTTATCTGAGGAAACTTTCTCATTAATAAAACTAAAGCCAGCAAAAATATAGCAATGCAGCTCTTTTAATATTTAAATAAACCAGATGCATCTCACTGTTCCATGTCCTACTTCCTGTTTGGCTCATGAAATTTTTGAAGGTGGAATATGGAACATGAACAACAAAGTGACACCTAGTGTGTGGAGGTTGTAATTGCAACAATAGAACAAGGTTTCCAGCCGTCGGGATACCAGGTTCGCTGCAGATATGTGACCATTTTTATTTGGGTCCATCTATTGTAGACTTCACCTAAACACTGGTTTTAGATCTTTTATGGTCGCTACTTTTCTGAGGATAACAACATCTTCTGGGCACAGAAGCAGCTGCTTGACTTGCAGAGTCCGCCATTTTCCACAGTGCCAGCCTCGCTGTACCGAGTGGACTGTTTACCATATTTGACAACCTGCAATGGTGCCCTCTATTGGCTGGTGGATGTAAATATAAACCCTGTGTCATGCACGTCAAACTGAATGTTTGATTATGTTTTTTGTTAAAATATAGAGTTTAAACAAGTAGGGCTCGCCACAGAACCACAAAGGCGGAGCTGCTTCAGGGTCAGCCCCACCCATTCATGCAAACTCAACCCAGCCTGCTGACTTCTTCTGTTTTTAACTTTATTGCTAACTATCCTGACCTATATGAATTACAGCTGTTACTAAAACAATTGTTAATACTATGTTCCAAATAAGCAAGATAGAAATAATTTGCTACATGACAAAGCCTGAATATACCCCAAAATGATGAGGTTCCTTTCAGCAAATCTCTGCCCACGGCCGCGCTGACAAAACGCTCCTACAACAGCCTTTTAGACAAACTGAATATTGTGTGAGCTCTGGTAGTCTAGTGGCATAATGTTCTGACTTTAGTTTTGTTTTGCGCTCTGCTGACGACGGCTCGACTCCAGGTGGGGTCAGCAGTAATTCATTTAGCCAGCTGAAACAGAATTAATTTAATTATATTTTAATTTTATTGATTATTTTCTGCAAAATATTTCATGTCTCTAAAGGTTCTTTGAATTTGGTAATTCCTAAGCAGCATTTTAGTTGAAACTCTGGATTAACACTGGCTAAATAAACAAAGAAAGTAAAAAACAAACAGATTAGTCCTTTTATTTTAAACAGTTTATCAGTAAAGGGTTGAAAACATAATACTGGCAAGTGTGGCTAGAAAAGAAGAAAAAAGTTAACACCGCGACCGGGAGGTGAATCTTTGCAAAACTATACACCGGACACCATAGGCACTTCACCACAGTTTGCTCCACATATCCTGTACTATTCAGTCTTTGTAGATGGGGTGTATAGTTTTTCCGGTGATGTCCCAGTAGAAGTAATTTCAGCTATTGCGCCATTTCCAAATATGGTTTGAGTTTGACAACTGGAAGCAATTTGACTGACCCTGATGGAATGGGCGGGGCTGACTCTGGTGCAGCTCCACCTTTAGGTGAAGCTCCGCCTTTGTGGTTGTGCAGGGAGCACCCTCTCCAATTAAAAGAAATACTGTGCTTTCATTCTGCGCACCACTTAACACCCCATGGAGGTATTATTTAAATTAAAAAATAGAGCTTTTGATTCAATTGTTCCATATTCAACTTTTAATTACATGGCAATCTGCATGCAGCGTCCACAAAAATTAGACTCCATGCAGAAACTTTCCGCAGCTCCGCATCTGGAACCAACCTGCGCTGTAGCGTGTGTGAATGCTCTGATTGGACTCATTGATTTTTGATCCATGCAGAAGCCATACAGAAGCTGCCTTTGCTCCCTATTCAGTGTGAACGAAGCTTAACACCCCTGTGATTACAGAAATGGGTGGATGTCAGCACCACTGACAACGGTAGATTGCCTGGGATTGTCAGGCTGCCCCTGTCAGTTTGTGGGAAACTAATTTTCTTATGAACTACTTCTCATGAACTTTGCTCTCTCACCATAGGCAACGCAGAAAGAAATTATTCTCATAATTTTCATTAAAAGCTAATTTAACCTTTTGATTTTTTTTCATCATTTGCTCTGCAGGTTTTGCTCCCATCAGTGGCATGTGCAGTAAATACAGGAGCTGCACCATCAATGAGGATACAGGACTGGGCTTGGCCTTCACCATCGCTCACGAGTCTGGACACAAGTGTGTTTAAGAAAATAACCTCACATGCACAAAGTTCATGAGCATTTCATTATTTTACAATTAATATCTCTTAGTAATTTTTCACCATTCAGTGGACTAGTGGTGAGTATCCTTCCTGGGACTGGGAGATCGGGGTTCAAATCCTGGTCGGGTATTACCAAAGACTATAAAAATGGGACCCAATGCCTCCATGGTTGGCACTCACCTTTAAGGGGTTGGATTGGGGGTGGGGGGGTGGGGGGTGGGGTGTGGGGGGGTGTGGGGGGTCAAACCACCAAATAGTTCCTGAGCCACAGCTGTAGCTCACCTCTCCCCACTGGGAGGGGTCAAATGCAGAGATGTACTTTCCCCAGTGTGTGATGACTAACGTGACTTTAACTTCTACGCGTGGGCCATGTTATTATTAGAAAGACACAGCTGAAGTGGCTTCACGCTGCTGATGAAGGATTAAATGAAGGACAGGGTCTTGCTTTAAAACCCTACTGTGACATTCCAGGAAGATTAAAAAACAATGCTTCAGCAATCATGAGCTGTCCCCCACATTTAGACAGCGTCTTTAAAGACATATCAACTTTTCAGAATGATCTCTCAAAAGTTGATGAGTTAGACTTTTTCAGACATGCCTGCCCTAATTTAGCGAAGGCAGCAAGGATGTTTACCTTCGGAAAAGACACCACTAGCTGTATTTCTCAGTGAATTGCATCACAAACAGCACAGCTGTTTGATGCTCATAGGCTTGGAATAAAAATCAAGACAAACATTATTTCCTTGAATGCTTCTTTGAAATCTGGGAAAATGTAATAGCTAGGTGCTCATTGGTTTGTTGCTTGGTTTGGGGAAAATGTCCCTTCGTGAGGATTTTGTGAATAAGACAGATGCACCAAACACAAATTTGCTCCTAAAAAAGTGCCATGCATTGTTAAATTAGGACCTTAACTTGTGGGGAGCACAAGCGGATGATCGTGAAAATGAAGTTAAAACTCAGATACAGGAATAGATGGTTAAATTAAAAAGTGGATAGGATGAAATATATTTTAGTTTGATATACTACTACTGAAAAAAATGCTTTTAATTTATTTGGTTTTCAGTTTTATAGCTTTTAGTGCAAAAAATTGATTAAAATCAAGAAAATATGTCAAAATTTTAACATCTAGATCAGGAGTGCCCAATCCTGGGCCTGGAGGGCTGCTATCCAGTATGTTTTAGTGGTTTCTCCGCTCTAGCACTCGATTCAATGGTTCAATCACTCGTGCAGCAGCTCATCAGGTTCTGCAGAAGCCTGTTAATCAGCTGCTGATTGAAACCCAAGTGTGTTGAAACACGATTAAAACTAAAACGTGCCCAATCCTGGGAGCGACCAGGCTTTCTGATCTAGATGTTTAAATGTTTTCATTTTTCAATATTTTGTATCATGTCACAATTATAAGGAAAAACAACCTTTTTTACAGGAAAAAAATACACTCTAGAGTGTCAAATAGTTTATTTTCTTTTCCAGTTTTGGGATGATCCACGACGGAGAGGGGAACCCTTGTCGGAAGACAGAAGGCAACATCATGTCTCCCACCTTGGCTGGAAACAACGGGGTCTTCTCGTGGTCCACCTGCAGCCGACAGTACCTCAGCCGCTTCCTTGGGTAGGCCTCACAAACAGATGGCAGACTAGTCCCACAGTTGCTAATGCTCTGACCCCGTCGGTGTGCTGTGCTCACCAGAACAGCCCAGGCGTCCTGCCTTGGGGACGAGCCCAAGCAAATTGGTCAGTACAAGTATCCTGAACAGCTTCCTGGTCAGCTGTACGACGCAGACACGCAGTGCAAGTGGCAGTTTGGGTCCAAGGCCAGATTGTGCAGTCTTGATTTTGTCAAGGTGATATATTCATTTAATGTATTTTGTCAGTTTTTCTGTCTATTTTTCATCATTAAACAGCCAGGAGGATTAAAGCTGCTACTAGTTAAGTTTTAAGATAAGATACAACTTAACTGTGCGTAAACGTGGGAAATTGTCTCAGTGTACTCTGTCCACCTTAAAAAAACATTAAGATGCCTTAACACAAAAAGTAAGAAACATGAGAACAGACTCCATTCAATACAGGCCTTCCAGCTGCATAACACTACTGATTGAGTAGACTAACTGAAAGTGCAATGGGAAGGCTGTGGTTGTTTTAGCATCCAGGAGAGAGTAGAGCACGTCTCAGCTAGTAGAAGCTAACTGTTAGCATTAGCAACTTCACAGGCTTGTATTATCTGTGGAGATGAAACATCAACATTGCAAAGCAAACAGAATCAGTGGTAGAGTTGTGTTGCTGTTTTCCTATCAAAGGCGAAATGTCTGAATATCGGGAAATAAGACTCCAAATCATGCTGTGTTCTGCTCCCTTCCATTCCAAGTTTAGGTCCTCCACCGCCTCCCTTACATCCAACTGTACATCTCCTTTAAGCCCCATGAGATGTCTAAGCTGCAGCTGTTACACACCTGCTTAGACTCTATTAAAACCTGGATGGCTGGGAGCTTTCTTCAGCTGAATGAAGATAAGACTGAGATACTCATCTGTGCCCCAGACAAGCTGGTTCCCAAAGTCAGAGACTCTCTTGGTCAACTTGCTTCCCACACCAAACCTTCTGTCAGGAATCTTGGCATGACCTTTGACCCAGCTCTCACCCTGGATTCTCATGTCAGTTCTCTTTTTCGCTCTTCCTTCTTCCATCTCAGGAACATTGCTAAGCTGAGTCCCATTCTGTCCCGCTCTGAACTTGAGACAGTTCTCCACACCTTCATCTCCTCACGCATAGACTACTGTAACTCTCTTTTCACGTGTCTGAGCAGAACCTCCCTGAACCGTCTACAGGTGGTTCAGAATGCCTGTGCTCGGCTTCTGACCAAGTCCTCCAAACACACCCACATCACCCAACTTCTCCTCCAGCTTCACTGGCTGCCAGTCAACTTCAGGTTCATTTCAAGATCCTGGTTCTGGTCTATTGGGCCTTACATGGACAAGCACCATCTTACATTGGTGATCTTCTTAGTCCCTACACCCCCAGCAGGTCCCTGAGGTCCAGTGATCAAAGCCTACTGGTTGCGCAGCACCAGGCTAAAGACCAAAGGTGACAGATCGTTTGCTGCTGTAGCCCCCAGACTCTGGAACTCTCTCCCCCTGAGCCTGAGATCAGTGGACTCAGTGGTCTCCTTTAAAAATCAGCTGAAGACTCACTTGTTCAAGCTGGCTTTTGTATGACCTTCTTCACCACTCTCTTTATTCTGCTCTCCCCACCTATTCCACCTTCCTCAGGATCCACTGATTTCCCTTTTTCCTATTCACTCTCTCTCTTTCTTAACATTTTTTAATTACAATTGCCTATTTTTTGCTCATTTTAAATATATTTTAACCATTTTCTCAATTCTTTTTTATATTTTCGCATTTTTTGTTTTTGTGAAGCGCCTCGTGATTTTTATCTTGAGAGGCGCTATAGAAATGATACTTTCTTCTTCTTCTTCTTCTTCTTCTTCTTCTTCTTCTTCTCCCTACTCCTCTGGCTCACGTTTACTTCCTGAAATAGGAGCGCCGGAGCTTTTTACCCACAGAGATAAACTCACAAGGCATTAATTTACAATAGAAACCCCTGCAGATGTATTTAAAAATGAGCGAACTTGGTCTTTAGGGCTTATGGTGATTTTGTTTTATTAGAAGAATCTGCAAAAACACATTCCCAAAGAGACAGACATAAGAAATTAATTGGAGGGACTGGATGACTTTTACATTTACTTAATTTAAAATACATTTTCTGTGAACTCTGGCATTGATATCATGTATACATATTTCTGTATTCATATTTTGACTCATTAAGGGAAAATGCACGTCTTTCTTCCATTTTGTTGAGCATAAAAAAACTCTGTAAATGAGAAAAGCTGACATTAGCCAGAGGAGTTCTCCGGTTTCTACTCTCCAGTACCTGAAAATCAGCTTTGAATCTAATAACCAGACTTTATTAACAGGAATTCACATCTTCAGGAAGCCTGGACAACAAAGACACTGCCAACCCTCAGGAGGCAGGTGATGGGAATTGATGTTTGAATTTTTTTCCCATTTAAAAAGTTGTCAAAAACTTGGAATCTCATCGTTTACTATTAGAACTGACCATGCTTCTCAGATGGGGTCGATGAATCTCCAAGAATGAAGAAAACGTCTAGCTGCCTTTGTTTTAACTGATTAGGATTAAAAGGCACAACACCAAAGAACCCAGACAAACATTTGGAAAGGCTCTGACCTCCCTGCACCCCCCCCCCCTCCCCTTCCCCCACAGACACACACACTCCCACCCCCCACCCTATCAGCGTGTCCCTGATCGTCGTCTCCTGACGTGCTGGGGCGTCCCGAATCGTCGTATATCGAGGCTTGGTCACACGTGTCATATTTTGATGCTTTGGGTGTGAGAATGTGTTGTGGAACCAGTTGCCACCCTCAGTCAGGCTGTCCCCATCTCTGCCAGTCTTTAAGAGTGGCCTAAAAACCCATCTCCTCCACTTGACATTACCTGAACGTGTTTGAATTTGGCCATCTTTTATGTTGATTTTAATTCCCTGCTTTCATTGGTCTCTTTATCCCTTGTTTTACCAATTTGTTTTCTACTTTAATGTTTTACCTTGTTTGCACTATTTGAATTGTTTTTATTATTGATTTATTCATCATGTTTCACATTTCTCATGTACCATGTTCAGCGCCTTGGGCTTCCCGACAGGGTCGTGGAAGGTGCTTTATAAATAAAGCTTTGATTGATTGATTGATTGATTGATTGACATTTTCGGTTACTACTTTATGAATGTGGACCAGCTCTGTTTTTACTTATTATACTTTCTTAGTCTATTTTTCTTCACTACCAGAGCCTCTGATAATGGCACTGACATGCTAAATTGCCGATGATCCAGTCCTAAACCGCCACTTTGTTAATCAAGAAGGTTCTATTCCTGAACAACTCCTAAATGTTTGATCCTCTGTTTGGATCCTTTCACTATGCACCCCTACCAAGAATCAGAAAGGCCTTTATTCAGACAGGGTAATTCACATGTAAATGATGTTTAAAAGCTTTTCACTGCTAGGGAATTTTCCAGATTGTATTCTGACAGCTTAGCTCACATGACAGCACCTTGCCGTGCCCCCCCCCCCCCCCCCCCCCCGTGTTTCTCTACATCTGCATTTGTAGGACTCGTGTAGAAGACGGAGGGGGGTAAATCACTTATGCTTATTAACAGTGGATTTGTGGGCAGCCGTTCACACTTCATCACCCATTTTTTATTTTTTCTAAATTCTTTTGAACTTGTGTGGACGTGTGTTTTCAGCTTTTCTCTCTCTCACCTGCTTGATACCAGCAAAGCGGACCTGCCTCAGAGCATAGAACCAAACAAAGCAGAGCCGTCTGCTCTAATCCTTACCGCCCTCCCTCCCTCTTACCTCTCTCACTGCTAGCTGCAGTCGGGCATCCCGCCAACCAGTGCTGCCTGTCTTTTGACCCCAGCTCTTCCTCTGGGCTCACTGGCTTGTGCTGTCCGTGTTTTGTTGGGTCACATGACAAATGCAATCACAGCTTGTTTCATTAAAGGAGTACACTGATTGGGTTTGACAGAAGGGCTTTGAGGAGAAGCCGGTTGGAGGTGGTGGGGGATTATGGAGCAGCTTGATTGTGGTATTTTCTGGTCCAGGGTGAGGGAAAAGGGTGGGAATTAAAGCTGCCACCATTGCTGCCAGCTGACACTTATCTTTAATACATTTTCTCATTCTGGTCATTTGTTTCTGGTTTGACAGGACATCTGCAAGTCACTGTGGTGTCACCGCGCAGGCCATCGGTGTGAGACCAAGTTCATGCCCGCTGCAGAGGGAACCAGCTGTGGTCCAGACATGGTGAGCACAGGCCGACTTGTTTCTGATGGATCACAGCAGTCGCTCCCTCCATCTTCTGCCGGTTTCAGTCACTGATGTTCTAATGAGACAATCTGTTTACACTTTTCATTAGTGGAGAAGTGTTTACCTGTAGCCAGAGACACAACAACTAGACCATATTAGTGAGTGATTATGATAAGGCCCAATCCTGCTATTTTTTCATCAGCTTTCTTCTCTTATTATTATCTTATCATGTCCCTTCCAACTCCAACACCATCATTTTGGACATCTAAACATGCATAAAAAGTATTGAGTCCTTCAAAAGTAGGTGTGGCAAACGGCTTTACGCCTGCAAACCCTTTGACCCACTACCTATCCCAGTATTAGGTGTGCACATCCACACAAGGAGGACTTATGATACCTAATCACAGATATTGAAGTTCCATTTAGAAAGGATGGACCGGAGTACCTTTCCTCTTTAATTAGCATCCATATCTGAATACTGACTTGCAATAAAATATCCACTCATGCATGCACAAGAACACCTGCAAAAGCATTCTGGACAAAACTCTCCAAGCAAAGCTGCATCTATTGTCACATATAAGATGATATTTAACAAAGAGAAATGTGGTGAAGTGTGAGCAGGATTTGGCGCGTGTGTGTTTGCATTCGTGCATACGTATGTGTGTTTGTGTGTGTGCATGCTTGTGTGTGTGTGTGAGTGTGTGCACATCCGTCCAGGTGTGTCGTTTGACATTTGTCCAAATGGACGAACCCAGACCTGAGCATTGATAAGAAAACAATTACCTTCTTTTGTTTCATTTTCTTCCTCACTTTTGTTGCTTGTAGTGGTGTCGGAGGGGTCAGTGTGTTAAATACGGAGAGCACGGTCCCAGAGCCATCCATGGTCAGTGGTCAGCCTGGTCCCAGTGGTCCGACTGTTCCAGAACTTGTGGAGGAGGGGTCATGTACAGGGAGCGGTCCTGCAGCAGCCCGAGGTATGAACACACTTCCAGGCTCTCACATCGTCCTGATCTAATTCATCACATCCATTTTAAAACTTAGAACCAGATTAAGTTGCCAAACAGACGACAAAATGATTCATGTTGTTACGAACCAAAAATCTGAGCTGCAGTTTGGAACAGAAACTCCTCATGTAACAAAGAAAACCCTTGGTTTCTGAACACCTGAGAGACCTTTCTGCCAGGTACCTGTCAGCACGCACACACACACACACACACACACACACACACACACACACACACACACACACACACACACACACACACACACACACACACACACACACACACACACACACACACACACACACACACTCATCAGTCAGTCTGACAGTCTAGGCTGACGGACTGTTTCTTGCCGTGCTTCAGCCGAGCGAAACCACCTGACAGCATCCTCGTTTGTCTGCAAGCTGCCAAGACAGCCGGTAAATGTCCACTACAGCTGCTTACTGATGCAAGAAAAGCTCCCCATGATTCTGCAGAGCCAGTTCCCACAGTGCATGTTAACAGAGCTGTGTGCACGTTCCCATCTCAGGTTTATCGATGCATTGCACAACAGCCATGCAGCACCCTGCTGTAGAACACTTGGAGATTTATTAGATGTTTTTAGACCTTGATTCTCCTTTCACATAAACCACAGCTGTCTAAAGTCAGTGTGATCATAAAGAGGTGTAGTGTATTAACTATCTGAAGTTAATTAGCAGCTCTCAAATTTATTACAGGATCAGCGGCTGCCTGCAGCAGGACCTTTAGAGTGGTGAATGATTTTCTACTCATTTATGCATTATCATTCCTTCTTTAAGCCCTTCTGTTCAATCTAAAGCCCAAACACAGTCCTGTGAGATTCAGGGTTATACGATATTTAATCACGTGTTTAAACAGCTGCTGGTTAACTGGGATCTATGTTTAGGGAACAAATAGAACATTTAGAACTGTTCATCTCAGCCGGTCATAGATGAACACTCACACTGCACACAAGGTATAGAAAGAGCTAATCCAGTAGGATTATGGCTGAAATATCTGGTCTGACAGGATTGGTGGAAAGGGGATGACAGTGATGGTGCTGGTGAAACATTAGCTTTAACCAAAGCTGGAACATTGTTAAAAGTGACATAGTTGCTGCCAGTAAGTCAATAGGGTCACCATGGTAACCCCTGGTGGCACATTAAGGTTGGTTCATGCTTGATGCGTCTGCGAGGTTTGCACGGCTCTGTGCGGCGAAATTGCGTCATTTTAAAAATCACGCCCCTCCACCGCGTCTCCGCACGGCCCAAACTTTCCACACCGCGCACCTAGGAAATTTTCTAACCACGCGGACGGTCGGACGTGGAAAAACATGGCGGACTGGCAAGAACTAGTATGGCAAAACTAGTATGGCAGAGGTTGGTAAATACAGACATTTGTATGATTCAGCTCTCAAAGATCACCGTGATCAACATGTTGTTAATAATTCTTGGAGAGAAATAGCTCGCACTGTCGGAAAAGAGGAGGACGCTGTTAAAAATGCTGGAATGCCATGTTGTAAACAACAGTAATTTTTACTTCTACTATGGTGTAGTGTTGGATGCATGCATGCCGAAGAGCTCCATGCTGCCCCCTACAGGTTGGGAGAATATTGGCTCACCGCAGAGACAAGCCGCATGAACCATAAACGCTGCAAGTTGTGAAACGCGTTCCATCCGCGAGCCGCATCACCAAGCGGAAAGTAAATGCGTCAAGCATAAACCAAGCTTTAAGGTCATGTCAACCACACTCTGGCAGAGAACAAATCACTCCTGATCTTAGATCTCTACACTGGTTACCAGTAAACTACAGAATAGATTTCAAAGTGCTTCTACTAGTTTATAAATCACTCAATGGCATGGAGCTTATATACATGTCAGATCTCATTTCTGTATATATACCTAGGGCTCTGAGATCCCTTGGAAACAATCAGCTGGTTGTACCACGGGTCAGAACCAAACATGGTGGAGATGCATTTAGTTACTATGCTGCTCACATATGGAATCAGCTTCCCTTTGACCTCAGATGTGTTCCAACCCTCGTGTTGTTTAAAAACAAAATTAAAAACCCTAATGTCTCATCAGCCTTTAAATGAACATGCTGCGTTATCTCCACTGTCTGCGCTGTAACTTTGTCTTCCTTTAGCTCTAAACTGTAATTCTATCCATGTGTATTTGAATGTGTGTTTTTATGTTGTTTTCATATCATGTCCTGATTATTGTAAAGCGCATTGAATTGCCTCTGTGTTTGAAATGTGCTCTATAAATAAAGCTGCCTTGCCTTCTGCACTCCGAAAACCACCAGTTTGAGTGGTAGAGACACACCAAGTTAAAGATTATTAACTTTTTATCAAAATAGCACAAGAAAATAGTACATAAATAAGACAGTCTAAATATTCTTTGTGAACTTTTTTTTTATCTTAAACAATTTTTACGTGCCAGTAAAATGTATTTCAATTATATGCTGTAGCCTCAAATTTTCTGATGCATACATTCATCTGCAAGTTCTCATAAGTTCTAATCAAAAGTCATCTTTTTTATTGCCCCATTTCATCTGTTCAACTAAAGACCGTTTGAAATTTGTCCTCCTCTGTACTTCAGTAGCTTCATCATCGCTTGCTTTAGTGAGACAGACACTCAGCTCCGTGTCTCCGTCTCAGTCGACTCGTCTCCTATTCCACGTGAAGGATCAAACACATTTTCAAAGACAAGCTGGCTCTCATATGATACACATTATACACAGTTACTGGCAGAGTGAAAAAGGGCCACAGAGCGTTTCAAACCAGGTTGGCTGTCAACTTCATTTATCATTCCTGTGGCAACAAACGGAAACTTGTAGAAGCAGCTGCTGAAAGACTGGAATGAAGTTGCTGAATGGTTGGTTCTTTGGGTCAGTGGGACAAGATAATGATTCAGTCAAACAGCGCCGAGTCATAATTTCATCTTAAAGAGTAAGTTGAAACTGGACTGCTGCATTTTTGAATCAAACGTTTTAAGTCCTTAGTTCAAAACGCCCACATCCAGAAGTCTGCAGGTTACTCACAGACCCAATCAGGACTGGAGCTTTTCCCTGAGTCTCATTTTAGTCATTGATGCAGGATCCAGATCTGGAGAAACTCATTCATGTGTTCATCTTCAGCAGGTTGGACTATTGCAATGGTCTTTAGTCTGGTCTTACCTAAAAGGCTTTGCAACAACTTTAGCTCATTCAGAATGTTGCTGGTCTTACCATGAACAAAGAGAACCTAGCGCATCACTCCTGTTCTTAAATATATTCACTGGTTATCAGTAAACTACAGAATCCATTTCAAAGTGTTTGTACTAGTTTATCACTCAGTGGCATGGGGCCATAATACATGCCAGATCTCCTTACAGTATATTAACCCAGCTGGGATTCTGAGATCCTTAAGAAGCAGTCAGCTTGTAGAACCATGGGTCAGAACCAAACGGGGTGAAGCTGCTTCTAGCTACAATGCTGCACACAGATGGAATCGGCTTCTTCATGACCTCAGATATACAACACAGTCAGCCATTCACCCATTCACACACACATTCACACACTGGTGGTGATGAGCTTCGATGTAGCCATTGCTGCCCTGGGGCGCACTGACAGAGGTGAGGCTGCCGATCACAGGCGCCACCGGTCCCTCCGACTACCACCAGCAGGCAACATGGGTTAAGTGCCTTGCCCAACGACACAACGACAGAGACAGGCTGAGCGGGGCTCGAACCTGCAACCTTCTGTAGTTTCAGCTATAATGCCAGGCCTGATACCAACATTTTATTAGAAATATTTTTGGTTGTTTTAAATCCCAACGGACACGGAGACAGAAATGAAAGAGAAAGAGGGGCGAGAAAAGGAAGAGGGGGGGTTCACGAAAATAATGTACAAGAATCCTCTTCTAGACCTGCAGAAAAAGAAAAGAAAGGGTGCACACAAAAATCACTGTCATGTTTGACTTAATCCAGGCCAACTGGGAACTCCGACTGGAGAGGTTGGATCAGCACAGACATCGGATCACTGCTTCCAGTTCTTTACTCATTCTTTCACATCGCCCGTTAGTCTGTGGGTAAAAACCAGAGGAGAGGTCGACATTGGCCCCCAGGCGGGTGGCAAACTCCTTAAATGTATGGGAGACAACCTGGGGGACCTGGTCAGAGAGGATTTAAGTAGGGATTCCATGAAGGCAGAACAAGTGTTTGATCATGAGGGTCGCAGTTTCTGTAGAGGATGGGAGAGACTTAAGGGGGATCAGATGACAAGCCTTGGAAAAAATGATCAGTGACAGTTAAAATCACATTAAAACCACGGGAAGGAGGGAGGCCAGTGAAAAAGTCCAGGTCGATATGAGACCAAGTTCATGAAGGAATGGGGAGAGGGTTACAAAGCCCATGTGATGGCTGATTGCTGCTGTTGTTGCGAACAGTTTAGCTTCCTTGAGGTGTACTAGATTTTTGTGGTCTGTCCACACAATAACAGGGGGATCTGCCCCCTCCAGCCAATGCCTTGACAAATGCCTGTTTGATGGCAAGGAGCTCACGATTACCAGCATCGTAATTTTGCACCGCAGACATTGGGCATCGTGTGAAAAAGGCACAGCAGTGCAGTTTGGGTGAGATTTGGGACAGAACAGCTCCAACGCCTGAGTGCAAGGCATCAACCACCAGAGTAAACTGCTGTGAGAGATCGGGTTGAGTGAGGATGGGCGCTTGCATAAACATGGTTTTGAGCTCCTTAAAAGCCTGGTTTGCCTCCATGGACCACACAAATGTTTTTTTATAGGCATGTGTTGTGTAAGGGGGGTTGCAATTATACTATAGTTCTTATTAAAACGGCAATAAAAATGAACAAGTCCAAGAAAACATTGTAACTGCTTATGTGATGAAGGGATAGGCAAGTCGAGAACAGCTTGAACCTTGTCCGAATCAGTCTTCAGCCACCCGCTCTCTAGAATGAATCCAAGAAACTTCCCA